GCTGAGTACGCGCTGCAATGTAAGACGCCCCTATGCTGTTGAGATCCTTCACGTTCAGAATCCAGGGTGCAGTCAGGTATTGTATTGGAAGTCCTCGAGGAAAGGGCTCAGGAAGCGCTAGTGTGGCAGGACGGTCTAGCGGCCTTAGCTTGGACCAGAGTTCGTTTCTCGCTCGTGCGAGGGTGTCTAAGAAGACATATGTCGAGACGTCGGAGCTTTCAAGCTCAATAGTGAAGGATCTGTGATAGGCAAGAATACCACGGGGATGATTCGCCTCCAGTCTTGCGTATTCCTCTCTTTGCGCCTTTTCCTCGACCGCAATGAGCATCGGAATCGTGACCTGCCAAATGCAGGCATGTATACCGTGGTCAGGGGCTCTGAGTTGCTTTTTGACATGTGGTGTGAGGTCCATCCGTAGTTTGATAACATCGTGGAATAGCTCAAAGACGCCACCCCAATCATACGCGTTGAACGAAGGTTCCCTGAGGGCTTCGCATGCTGTGTCAAACATTCCTTGCAAAGTCGTGTTCGCCATTGCGACTCGGTGTTGTAGCACAGTCAGGCTTGGCAATCCGTTGATCGATGCAGGAATACCTGATAGTAGGCGTGTAGCTTCTTCAGGAAATATGTTTGGATAGATCTCCTGCATCACGAGCGGATCTCGCAAGAAGCGTTTGGTCCACTCCAGCGTATCTTTCAGCAGGTCGAGAGACCCACTGGCGATAGCAGCAAATAGCGCTGACTTGGCAAAGAATGCACGTTGTTCCGGCTGAGATGCAGTAGCAGCCTTCTTCTTGCGCACATCAACGTAGCCATTGGCCAATATATTGGCGTCTTCTTCCTTGTTGTTTAGGCTTAGTAGCCAGAAGTGAAATATATCCGGGTCACCACTTTGACCTTGAAGTTCATAAGTTGGCGTTTGGCCGAAAATAGAGCGATTTCGATCAAGGTCGATTAGATCAACATCTCCTCTCGCTTTTCGCAGACGAGTAAACAATAGCAGAGCGTCGGCAGGGGACAGATTGGCGAAAAAGCTGGGATGGGTCGAGCCCTTGGTCTTCTTCAGATCCGCATCGCTGTCAAGGTCAAGCGAGGTGGACTCTTGGTAGCAAAGTCTCAAGAGTGGGTAGCTTCGCTTTGCTGGAATCCTTGCGAGGACGTCATCCCAGTCTCCGATGTTGGTCTTGCTGGCTGTACCGAATACCGGATGAGAACAGAGCCTCCGCAGTTGCTGTTCGAACAAACTTGGCTGTTGTGACCAGCAATAGGCGACCTGCTGGAGAAAGTCGCCCTCGATGCCAGTGATGTGACATCCTGTTCTTGGATGGGCTTCCAAGTACCGCATTGTAAGATCGACTATTCGTTGTATCATATCCCAACCTGCGTGGTTCTTGATTGCACGTTTAATGAGAGGATTGACGAGTTGGTCGATGAAAGTCTCGTCCGCCACTACCGAGTGCGCTGAATTACCAAGGGTTTCCAAGAGTCTCAAAGAGAACTCCATAGACTTGGAGAAGCCCTTTGTGGTCGATTTACCTGGCGGATGGTGATGCAGTAGCTCTGTAAATACCGTGATGTTGTCGCTGGGTAGTTGTTCCGCGCTCACCGCTTGGAGGAGCTCTTCTTGCATACACTCCGGATAGTACTTGACGAGATCCTTGGTTCGCGCATCTTTCCATGTTCCTTTCGACCCGCTTGCGATGGCCTCTTCTACCAGCTCCTTCGAACACGCAGGAATGATGAGTCGATAGAACCTTCCAAGTGCACGCTGATCTTTCGTCTTATGCGGCGAATCGGGGAAGCGATCAGGATGCAGCGCTCTGAAGAATTTCGTGAAAAGCTCTCTTTTCGCATTCAGGTCAGCGCCTCTACCAGAACGACCAATTGCGTTACAAGCAGCCTTAACCTCGATCACTGAGAGGTCTGCAAAGATGTCAAGCAACCCAGCAGTTCCTCCAACGCCATCCCACATCTCTCTCCATCGCGAAGAACAAAGCCCTTTACGCAGAAACTTGATGCCGAGCTTGCGGACAAGTACGGATCTATCTTGATTGAGCGCTTCGCGTGTAGCGAGAGGCGACTGTGCTACGCCGAGCCATGGCCCGAAGGTGAGCGGCGATATCGAGCCTCTCTCAATAGCTGAGAGGAGCTGTGTCGTGATCTCCTGGATTGGCGCATCGTCCAGTATTTGGGTGTAGTAGTCTCGAAGCTCAGCGGAAGTGGAAGACCGGATGCGACGCGTGTCGAGATTCGCGGTCATGGTGTGCGGAGCCGAGGTAGATTGCGCAATGGCCCTCCACCATCAATCGCAGCAGCAATCAGCATTGATATAGTTTCTAGAACTTCAGGCATGATGCACGCGAAGAGTAGCATAGGCAGACATGGCCAGATGGAGGAAGGTGGATGATCAGGCGGGCCGCGTAGTGGGGCCTGTCGTGTGTTGGAAGGGCTGAGAGGCGGCCAGCGACGCGTCTATGACATCAGCCTTTCCTCTCAAAGCGGTGACAGCTCCCACTACGATGCGCCCTGTTACCTACGCCCGCAGCCTTCAATCGACGCCCTCCTTGATCCACAGCCCTCCGTCCCCTTATACTCGGGATACGCAGCGTCACCTTGATGCCGCATACTTGCAGCTTCCCAAGGTCTCATTACCGATGGTGTGCGAGATGAGAAGGTCCGCATTTGGAGCTTTCAGCGCTATCTGTACAAGTCCAACTCGCAACCGATCAATCAACAAGGAATCTATAAACAGCGAACCCCCTTCGTATTTTTCACCAGAGCGTACCGCCCTCTCAGGCTTTAACTCCTACGTCACCAGTGTCTCTTTGAAAGAGTTCGAAAGTTTCATAGCCATTATTCTCCCAGAATGGTCTCTCTGCCCTTCGACCACCACCGGTAATTGACGCAGTAAGTCCGCACGGATCTATAAAGGTCATAAACCACGGCATGTCATCCTTCCAACCTGGGCCTTCCAGCTCGGTCTGCCCATCCTGAGCCAAGTAGATATGGTAGTCCTCCGGTAGGTAGCGACGCGGATGGCGATAGTTCCACAGCACGGTGTTTACGAGCATGAGGCTTGCGTCGAAAACCCACAAGAACCATTCGTATCTAACGATTGGCGAGAGACTCATTGGGTCCCAGTCTTTTGACGGATTCGTAGGTACGCGGCTGATGTCGAAGTGTTCGACGCAGCGGTAGATTGTGCGAATGAGGATGAGGCCCTGACTGATGTACAGTGTGATGAGAGGGCCCTGTACTTTCCCTGATTTGATGCCACCCCTGATACATCGTCTGTGAAAGACGCCGGCAATTATGCAGAAGAGGAGGATGACACCGATTTGTAAGACCAGTGACACCTTCATCAGGATATGTCCGATGTCGGCATATATTTCGAGAATGTTGGGGTTCGCTAGCCAGGAGACGCCGATCGCGTTCAAAACTTCAACGATGCTGGATATTGCGCCAAACGTCGTAAGGGTACGACCGGGATGCAGAGGCGAGTGGTATGGTACGTAGTAGAGTATTCGACCAAGCACATGGTAGTTGGCCAGCTCAAGGATGGGGCTGGTGATTTGTTAGCTACCTCGAAAGAGAAAGACGAGTTACTTACGGTGCACATAGTATAAGGATAGAGCTTGCGACGTATGCTCCAACGTTTTCGTAATTATGGGCTCCATAGGAACGTACGGCAAAGCCAACTGTGAACAGTAGACCGCAGAAGGGGTGGAGACCGGTGACTTTCCAAGCCTTGTACTTGAAACATTGCCAAACATGCGCAATGGTAGCAACTGCGAACCACGCTGCGAACATAGGAGATGCCCATTTAACAGGCTGATATAGGTAGACACTTCCGGGAACGATCTCACCGTTTGAGGGAGCCATGGTAGAGGGTAAATGAAGAGGATGAGAAGTGACATGCGAATCCAAGTATTTAAGCTGAACGACTGCAATTCCATCTTCGAATGATCGTTGCTGACTTCAAGGGGCAAGAGAAGAGCAATCGGTGTGTCCAATAGGATTACTACAGGCTTGTCCTGACACAGCACTATTGATGGCCAAGACTTCGATACGTCTGCACAGCTGAGTATCTCTCCCGTATGCCACATGCATACTCTCGATTCAATCAGCTTGGCTCAAGAAACGCAACTTTGGAAGGCAGAACGATTCCATCGCTGTCGCGTCTCAAGCTCAGAGCACGACAAAGTAGCATACCTCATACCATTTGGATGTTGATAGATAGCAACATATACAAGAAGACAGTGAAGAATGTACCGGATAGCAGAACGAGATCTCGATGATCATGTTTACTAAAGCTTTATCGTGGTGGCCGTTTGTGAGGCGCACCTGCCAATCGAGCTTCACACTAGCTTTCGGCTGTCAAGTGACGCAACTGCCGCTCGGGCAGGAACGCGTTGCGCCATCCTCATGAATAGCCACATCACGCTAGGCAGACTGTTAACTGCACATGTATACATGCTTCGAAACTTTCTTCGGTCGCTCACAATCTGCACTTTTCTGTTGCGATTTGCAGCACGAGACATGTCGGTTCGGCACCTCTGAATACGAAGACACTCGGGTCTCAGGCCCCCAGCGCCACGTGCACATAAGCTTCCTCGCTGGACTAGACCCAACACAGCAGTAAAGTTGGCCAAGACGGACTTGATAACCAGCTGAACTCATCACCACCAGCCACCTATGATAGTCAGACGAGCCCTCTATGGTAATAAAGCCGCAGAAATGCACGCTTTTATGAAGCCACCAAAGCCGCTGCCATTGCCGCCTTCTTTGCGGGTACCTTCCGGTTAATCTCTATCTACCCACATTCAGAAGCGACCATGGCCGAAACGGGAGAAAAGAGAGCGACACGCCAATGCTGGGAGTGTCTTAATCGGCGTCTAGTGTGCGACAAGACGATGCCGCGCTGCAACAAGTGTCAGAAACGCGGTCGGCAATGCTCGGGCTACGACGACGCGAAGCCGCTTCAATGGGTTCAGCCAGGGATGGTGACGTCCAAACGGAGAGGAAAGAAAAGCAGTAGTCCGCGGAAAAGATCCAGCAACAACACAGCGGCTAATAGTGAAGTCGACTATGCCTGCGAACCCATAGACTACGAAGCCACCTTGACCGAATGGGTAAAGGACCGGATCGTCAATCCCCAGTATCGGGTGACTGAGCTCCACGTGCTATCCTTCAAGATGATAGCCGTGGCCAAAGAGGCCGCCAGGGTATTCGAGATCGGCGGAAGGACCAAGATCGAAGAGATCGTGCAGAACAGCTTGCACGAGGAAGCCGCAAGGGTATTGCGCTCGGGTCGTGATCCACTCCAACGACTGAAGCGCCTACTCGCGTTCCTGAGCATGCAAGATGTACCATTCTATGATGATCTCACAGACGAGACATCGGAGGTGGTGCAAGCTGTTCAGTACTGTGAGTGACTCCTTTCCTCATTATGAAACTTGGGGCTAGTTTTATAGCGACATGTGTGGCCGATGGCTAACGCTACCAGACAACGTACGGATACACCCACAATACAAGGCATCCCAAGAATTGGCACCCAACCCTGCCCTCGTGCTTTTCCCTCCGCAGGTCTTGCATTTGCTTACTCCGTCCATCCATCATGCGCTAGTCTGCCTGTCACTCAATCATTTCATCTACAGTTTACCATTAGGCGCAGGCCATACAGCGGTGATGGCGCGGACAAAAGTATACCAACATCGGGGGGCAGCTTTGCGAGCATTGAGTCGCCATATTGCCCAGGACAAGACACGATGCTCGGACATGACTATCACCACAATTCTCATGTTCATGTGCTTAGAGGTATGCGAGCGCGCCTGGAATGTGAAACTTGGAGTCCCGTACTGATACGTACCTCTAGCTCCAAAACCCCACCTTTGCGGATGGACGTTCACATGTGAATGCCATGAAGCGGATAGTTGACCTCAGAGGTGGACCCAAGCAGGTCATGAAGGAAGCCCCATACCTGATCCAGCCGATGGTGCTCTACCTACTGTATGTCCATTTGCCCTTTAGATTGAAAACCTACTCATATGATCAGCATCGTGTCTCTTTCCAACACGTGCAGTCCGTCATGGGACCAAGTCGACATCAGCAACACTGTAGAGGGAATGACGGAAGACATAACCGACATGTACAGTCTCATCTTCCCGTACACGCTCTGTCCGCGAGAGCTCTTCACTGAGATATTGCGGACGAACCAGCTACGCGCAAAAGCATCTACAGCAATACAGCTGTGTACTTTCGACCCGGATTATGCACTCGAAGCTTATGACGTCCTCAGCCGCATCGAGGCTTTCTCAGTCGAGGACTGGGCGCGAGCTGGCGCCTTCTGCACCGAATGGCTGACTGTTGGCCTGGTGTACAAATCCGCCGTCGCGCTCTACGCCACCTTGTCCCTTTGCCCACTCATGGTCCTCCCGACGACGCCTTCACTGCTCGAGAGCCAAACGACTTACGGCGACGTCCTGCTCAGCAACCTCGGCACTGCACTCAAGGCCCCGCGCATGGCTAAGTTTATGGTCTGGCCGCTGATCGTCGCGGGTGTAGAAGCTATGCATCGCGGGGAAGGGACGCGCAACTGGATCGAGGCGGGCTTGGAGGATCTGAGCAGGACGCTGGGGACGAGCTGTCCACTCAAAGTATGTTCGGTGCTGAAGAGATACTGGAAGGGCGGGGTTGTCGGGTGGGACGAGTGCTTCGATCAATCGTATGTGTTTGCCATCTAGAGAAGGAGCTAGTCAAGGAGGGTTTGCAGTCATTCGTGTCATCATACCCAGAGGTTCGTGATATATCGCTAGTATGCGTAATGTACAGGCTTGCTATACAGAGGGGAGATGCGGTCCCCGTTCGTGATACCCAAACGCCAATCTATGCTGTCGTGTGCCGTGGAGCAGCACTACCGGTCCAGGCCCTTGTTCTCTGGATCCTCGTCGCCCTTGGTCTCCTTGACGTCTTTGTACGGCCGCCCCGCATAGAGCATGTATCCCTTCTCCTCCATGGTGCCCGCCTTCTCGTCCGCCTCGGAGCGGCCCTGGCCAAATGCGCCCGTCTCGAGTTGGCCTGGCACGGCAATGGGCCGGTTGCCGCGGAAGCGCTTGCGCATGTCAATCATGCCCTTTTTGCACTCGGCGTAGCCCTTTTGCAGCTGCTGGCACTGGGTGGGGAGGGTGTATTTGAGGGGCGGGCGCAGACATTCGCCGGGCGTGTGTCGGTCGACCATGATGCAGTCGCTATTTTGGAGGCAGAATGCCAGCGCAGCGCCTAGCCACTCCGGTTAGCCGAGGCATCGCACAAGATACAAAATAAGCCATACGGATGTCTTTGCAGGACTGCGGCATGGTGGCAGGAGGTCGCGTGTGGCTACCAGCGCACTCAACAATGCATGTGTGGAGTGATGGGGTGGAGCTAACATTTCACAGCCGTCGGCGAAACGTCGCGCTAACCTCCGGGGCTAGGATGCGTTGTCACATGTCAGGGATGGCTGCTTCCGTCTGGAACGTCATTCCGACTCTGTTCGCTGAGCTATCATGCAAGACTTCACCGTAACTCAAGAGGGGCTGGAGCGCGAGCTGTGAACTTTCCGAGGCCCGCGCGTACAGAGGGGCGATGCGTTGTCGCGCTGCCATTTTGTCTCTGCTTTAATTGCTTCTGTGCCCTGCCCGTCTTCACACGCCCGAGGGCACCTGGGGCAGCATGGCGCTCCATATACCCTTCCTGTCGCGCCTCCACATCCGCGAGTACATCGCCCTGTTTCTCTCCATCTGCCTCATCGGCCTCGAATCCTTCATTGCCGTCATCACGCTTGCCCTCCCCACGCCCATCATCAACTTCTGCTACCGCCTCACGCGCCGCCTGTTCAACCACCTCTCGTCGCCCTCGTCCAAGCGCTCGCGCCAGAAGAAGAAGGGCGTGTGGAGCTCCATCGCCAATGCATCCGACTTTACCGAGCTATGCGACCTCTACGGCTACTACTGCGAGGAACACATTGTGCAGACGGGCGATGGCTATCTCCTGGGTCTGCACCGGCTGGGCTGGCGACAGGGCGAGGAAAATGTGCGCGTCAACAGCGGAGATAGGGCCAAGGGCGTCAAGAAGAAGGTCGTCTACCTCCACCACGGTCTCATGATGAACAGCGAGGTCTGGGTCTGCTTGACCGACAAGGAGCGATGCTTGCCATTCGAGCTGGTCGAGCGCGGCTACGACGTCTGGCTCGGCAACAACCGTGGGAACAAGTACTCCAAGAAGAGCGTCCACACGCCCCCTACCTCGAGCAGCTTCTGGAACTTCAGCATGGACCAGTTCGCCTTCCACGACATCCCGGACTCCATCGCCTACATCCTCGAGACTACGCACCAGCCCTCTCTGTCGTATATTGGCTTTTCGCAAGGAACCGCGCAGGCTTTCGCGACCTTGTCCATCCACCCTACACTGAATGAGAAAGTGGATGTCTTCATTGCGCTAGCCCCGGCCATGTCCCCCAAGGGCGTTGCGTCTGGCATTGTCGACGCCTTTGTCAAAGCATCTCCGGATATCCTCTACTTGGCGTTTGGACGGAAGACCATTCTCCCATCGGCAACCATGTGGCAATCTATCCTATATCCTCCTATCTTCGTCCGATTCATCGACACATCCCTGCGCTTCCTTTTCAACTGGTCTGCCGTCAACATCCTACCCGAGCAAAAGCTCGCAGCATACCCACATCTCTACTCATACACGTCGACTAAAAGCGTGGTACACTGGTTCCAGATCATTCGGAATGGCACGTTCCAAATGTACGACGATGAAGCGCCGAATCCAATCACATCCAACCGATCCAAGTACTACAAGGTTGCCAAGTTTCCAACCAAGAACATTAAGACGCCCATCGTGCTTGTTTACGGCGGCTCGGACAGCTTAGTCGACATCAAGGTCATGCTCAAGGAGCTCCCAGCTCATACTATCGCCAAAGAGATCCCTCACTACGAGCACCTGGATTTCCTGTGGGCGGAATCGGTTCACACCCTCGTCTTCCCGCACGTCTTTGAAGCGTTGGACAAATTCGCAGGCTCAGAAGCAGCAGCTTTAGAGAGTCAGAAGCAACGACGCTTGCGATCGCCGGGCCGGTACCAACGTCTCCTACCAGAGTCCAGCAAACTACCCGGGTTAGACGGCGACGAAGACGACGACGATGCGGGAGATGAGAATGCGACAGCTCCGGTAGCGCTACGGACAAGAAAAGTCTCCCAACACTCGCGAGCGCCGAGCTCCATCGATGGCACGACGATAGCAGAAAGGCCATTGTCACTAGCCAGTCCCTTCCAAGCATCTCAAACGCCACGACCTCCCACTCACCGAAGAACGCACACGGAAGAGAAGCCCTCGCCTTCCCGCAACAGAATCATGTCACCGCCACCCTCGCACAGGATATCAACCATATCCTCACCACCCCCTTCCACAAACAGGATGTCAACCATATCCTTCAGCTCACCAGGTGCGTCAGTTGGCGACTCTCAAATGACAGAAAAAACCTCGACGTCTCGGCCCGAAGGATGGTGGTCCTCTGACGAAGTCGCTGGTACAGATCCGTCTCAAGCTACCACACCCGCTAACCACACGCCCGCCAGGAGGTCCAGTTTCGACAGCCAGCAGAGCACGAAGAGTATGGCGGGCAAATTCGGAGCCAATGGTATCACTCTTGGGGCGGGCAAAGCCGTCAGCGGAGTCACCATCACACAAGGAGAAGGATTCGGCGAGGGGAGTAGGACTCACAAGGATAAAAACGATCGGGAAAGATTACTGGAGGCGGATCGGAAACAACGGAGGAACGTCTTGAAGAAGAGGCAACCGTCTAGTGGGTGACTTGATCTGACGAAGTAACGATGGACTTGCATAAGATTGTTATGATTATGTTGGTTGGTTGTAAATTGGAATAACAAGAACCCTATGGACTACTCCATGCCAACGCTCTTCACATTTACAATGTTTCCAATGGCGTGACCATCCTCATACGTACGAGCGACGAGACAACGCCCAAGACTGTCTCTCGAAAGCTTCCATCTCACCACCCCCAGCCCCACTTCAGGCGCACCTCCGCTAGCATGATGGATCACGGGACTCTATTTCGCAATACGAGATGCATAGCCAAACCTCATCTTGACTTCAATTTTACCTAAGCTCCGCATTTCCAATAAACCTTTATCTGCCCACGACCCGTTGACTCCACTAGCCATTCATGCAGATATCCAAGCTCTTCCTCTCGCACTTCACTCGCGGCTGCCAATACCCATCTCTTCTACGCGATCTCGTCAATTAGAACAGTCATGGGATGGATATGGGATGGCGCTGTAAACATGTATCGGTCGCTAGCACGCTTCTTGTCGTCTGGGCTCCTCGATGCAAAGGTAAGGGTGTTGATGACTTGTGGCTTGTAGATCACTCTAAAATGATGGTCAAGAGTGATTACGATCCCGCGTATAGGGCCTTTATATGTTACAGGACTATGTCGCCTAATGAGGTAGGTTAATGTTGGCAGGTTGCTCGGAGGGATACTCGCTGATCTGGATATGGGACCTTAGTCCGTGTCGAGTTTTGGGAGACCGTCGATGGAGAGTGAAGTGGAATGAAGTTGGGACTTCGTTGCAGAGGCCTTGGTCTTGTGTGAACATGCATGAAGGTATCGATGCGATGAGGTTAGTTGGCTGAGGGGAAAGAGTGGTATTCCTATTGATGTTCAAGTATCTATATTCGCTTTAAAGTTGCTGAACCCGAAACTACACCGCCTATCAGTTTTCCCCTCCTGCGAGCGAGACGATCAAGAAGAGCCCTGTACGTCTTCCAGCTCGTCGAAACCGCTCTGCTGCATCTGTTGATGCATTTTTTGCTGCATTTGCTGTTGCATGAGTTGCTGCTGTGACATGTTCATCGCGGAAGGATTGAAGTTCAGATGACTCAAGGGCGCTGACTGCCACCACAGCTGTTGCATATCGACAAGAGGTACGCCTTGATCAAAGTTCGTCATGAAGGGGTTTCCGAAAGCGAAAGACGTTGGTTGTTGTTCTGGCAGAGGGTACGGAAGTAGCGGGTCCATGAAGTGATCTTGGGAAAGCGGGGGTGGGAAATTTGGCGGCATTTCCTCTGAGTAGTCAGCAACACCTGGTGCGTTCCAGGAGGTTGACTGCGGTGTGTATTTCGAGGGACCGCCAGAGCGTGTAGGCTGTGTGGGCTGGGAAGTCCATCCAGTATCGTCGGCAATCAACTCCTTGACTTGCTCCCGAAGAGCAGGCGCACAAGTGTTCAAAATCTTGTAGACGACATCATGAGCCCGAGCAGCGACTGGGTCATTGACTTTCATAGCACGAAGCCAGCGTATCATCTTCTTGATGCATGTCAGAATGTCGTCTCTCTCATCCTTTAGATGTTTGCCCTCGTAGGCCATCTCCAGCAGCAGCACGGCTAATGGTTGCATAACTAGTGGAAAGAACGTCAGCACTTATCAAACTTTTCTTATATCATGATAAACTTACTGAGATGAACCACATCCCACCATGGTCCTTGAGAGTAGATGAACTGTGTATCTGGCTGTTCAGGGAACAGCATCGTCATGTTTCGAGCTGACTCAACGCATGTCTCTGCTGACTCCGCGTTGAAGTTCATGGATTTGGAACTCTCTGTTGCTATTCTTCGCTCGATTCGACAGAGACAGGGCCGCGTGATGAGCACTCTCGTACTCCAGTAGTAGATTCTAAGGAGAAAACGTTCGCGGTTGAGTTCGGGTCGTTGGGTGGAGTTACTCGGACGGATGTCATCGGATGGTAACGCTGTCTTGACCCAGTCCTCTAGTTCCTTGAGCAGCTCTGTAATCTTCGTCTGTAAGTACTATAGATATAGTAGTCAGCAGAATGTCCTATACACAAACAAGGATTGTTTGTCGGCGACTACACCATCGCATTCACACATACCTCCCAAGATTGGACTGCGGTCCGGGGCGAATATAGGCTGAGAAGGACCTTCTGTGAAATGATAGTCAAGGTGACATATGTATGCAAATAGTGGCTTCCATCCGTATTCCGTTGGCCTGAGTCGGAGGCGGCGCTACTTCCAACAGTCTGAGGTGGGCTGTAGTTTGTGCGGACGCGAGAGTGTCGTCGCGCCCCAGTTGTGTCTCGCGTTGGAGATCCAGGTTCGTACTGTGGCAATGTTACAGTACAATCCTCGTTTCCAATGACCGGAGGCCGACCAGTGATGGAGGAAACGAGGCACTCGACTGAGTGCAAACACCACCACGTCTTCACCAACGGCTCTCTCCTCGAGTCGTTCATCGAATCGTCCTCGTTACGCAGGTGTAAACCGAGTGCCAAGGCGAGTCTGACGGAGAGCCCGCTCATGATCCAGGCTCTACTCACGTGCCCGATCACCAGGAAGTAGAACGCCAATGTTCCTGTCTGGTGTTCAAGATGTCAGGTACATTGAGGAGGGTTGAATGGAGATGGATACTTACTGCTTGAACCCTGCCCAGACTGGGGGCTGCCAGGAACGATATAGTATCCTTCAGTCCCAAGAGTTGAACAGCTCGTGTCATGTATACGAGATGGTCTCTCTCATCGCCTCGCCACTCGGCACCAATGAGATGAGAGTATTTGGCGCCAATAGCGAAAAGTAGGTTCATGGTCGCACGCCATTGTGGGGGGATTTGATACGGATTTCTGTACCTGAGAGATTGAATATAGCGTCGAAATTGATCTTCGAAGTTAGCGGGCATGAGAGGGAATGTGCCGTGTACAGTTCCCAGATAGCAATCAAAGAGCTTCTCAGCGATGTCTGGGCCAGGCATCTCGTGTGGATCTACAGCAATATCGACCTCGATATCATCGCCGTCCAGGTAGAAAGTCGCGTCCGTTATGTGTTGCATCGAGCCCGGTCTAGCATTCTGTCTTCGTTCGTGCAAAGCTTCGGATCGTTCGTCAATCGCTGCCGAACTTGCGCCTGGAGGCCCGTATCGCTGCCCTTGAGGGTCTGAGTTGCCACGTTCTGCTTGACGCTGAACACTTCGTAGCCATTGCACCTCTGAATTCTGTCCCATGTAGCCGGTCTCTCTCGACTCGTGGTTGCGCATCAAATCCTCGTCAAGGAAGTCGAGATCTTCGTTGGAGCCGACGGATGCAGTTACGAGGGCTTCTCCGTGATGGCCATCCCATGGCTCTTTTCTCTGCGCAGATTGCTCGCGTGGCCTTTTTCCCAAAGTCCTGACGGATTGTAAGGAATCCAGGGAAACAAGATCATCCTCAACCTGGAGAAGTAAGGTCAGCAGTAGCCTTGTCACGCTCTCAGGCAACGAGATTACTGATGGAATACATACATCATGTAATGTCTGCTTAATGGCCTTTTTGTCTGCTTCATCGACTCGGTCTTCTAGTTCTTTTAAGAGATTAACGAGGTTCTTGTTCAACCTCATGGCCCTGTAAAGTCAGTTTGTAAGTCGAATATTGGATGGTTCATCTAAACATACTCTCCAAGACGATCCCGACGTGCTGGATCGTACACACAAACTAAGTTGTTGCGTTCACAGTTGGCGCAACGCGGATGATCACCTGAACATCTGACTTCTGGAGCGGTATTGTCAGCATGAACGATTAAATGCGGAGGGATGTGGCTGTTTACTTCGTCTGCGGCACGTTTTGCATGCCCTTGCACTAGAGGAACGAGTTAGTTCACAATGTGTACTAATGTAGGCTAGGGTCACTGACACTCTTTCCTCTTTCTCGTATCTTTCTGCATTCTCGTTGCCCTGCTGCGGCGGCACCGGCGCCTTTTGGATCGCGATCTTCCTACCCTGTCCATCACTGGACTGCCCAAGCGGGACTCGTTGCATAGCACAGGCCGACGGTGATTGGAACTCAGTACAGGATCGCACTGCCAGTGCAGATGCAGCTCGCAGGGGGGAGACTTCAGTCACGTGTTGGATTCCGGCCAAGGTCTCCGTGAGCCTGGTTGTTCTGGGAGCGATGAGGGGAAACGGATCTGCCAGGACGGCCTGAGGCGCGAAGGGTGGTGACCCACGGTAAAGGAAGAGGTATGGGACTGTGTGGCTTGATGTCTCGAATCAAGGCAATAGACAGGCACGCATATGCGAATTGTAACGAATCGTTGTTTGGTGGTCGTGGTAGTGGTGGTGCTGGGAGAAACGCGACCTTCCAAAGGATTGATAGGCGGTTCTTCACCCACCAATCATAGTCCTCTACATTAGTTCACTGTCCGAAACAGCGTCGTGTTGTGGCTTCAAGTTGAGTGGATATAGTCGGATGCGTTTAGCAGTGGCCCATTGTACAGGCCTACGGCAAATCTTGAACAGGTTTCGCCTCGTCGGGATCGGGATCGAAGGCAGGGCGGCAATTCCCCGCGGAGCTTGCCTGCCAGACCGCATGGCATCCCCAGCTGCCAATTCAATGCAGCACGGAAAGGAAATGAAGCAAGAAAAACTATGGCATATGCAGGGCTGGAGAAGAACGGCGAACGCCTTTGGGTTGTCGTGCTATTTGAATATGCCTAGGTAGCCAACACGCCGTTGAGCCGTACGCGCGATGCAGGTCGCGTACGTCATTCCCAGCAAGGGAGTGGCTCCTACCTCGCTTCTATGCTGTTGAGAGTTCAGATAAACCACTTGTACACATTGAGGGATCAATGCAATAACGGATACTCACATACCTTTCGTTGATAATGTGTCTCCAGCGACGACACTAAATATCCTTTGGGTAGCTCCCAGGCATCAGTTTTCGTAACACGAGCCGATTTATGTTTTTGCGTGAATGCAATGGGACAGAAGTGTACGGTTGTGTTTCCGCGGACATGCTAATCCCGCCAGCACATAGCTGTACAGAGCAGCACGTGTTTCACCCGAGGCAAGTCCCTCTTCGCGAGTTTGGGACACCCATCTGATTCGCACACACTGCAGCATTTTGCTCGCAACTCTACTCTGAAAAGGAATGTCTGACATGATTTGATTGCTCGCGCTGACAAGGGACATTTGCTTCAGCCCAAGGGTTATGTGGGTCGCGCTATCCCAAATCTGGAAGCTTCTGCTAGCTTGCTGTTTTACGTTAGTGGGCGATGGGACTTCCCGATATCGCTTCACCCCGTGGAAACTTTAGGCAGCACCGTCAGTACATGCATCATTTTTCCTCTTTGCTCTTGCAAATTCTCCCAGCACTCTGAATGCCTGCAAGAACCAACTCGTGTGCAACCTGCCGCAAGAAACGCATCAAATGCGATGCGACAGTTCCCAAATGTCTCATGTGCATTCGCACCGGTCACGACTGCCCCGGACTACCAGGTGGTCCCGTCTTCGTAGACATGACGAACATTGCTAAACACGGAATGAGAAAGCGCAAGTCAAGACTAACAAGCAAGAGCGGGGAATCGTCTACGCTGAGCTGGATGCGTTCTGACCAAGTGTTGTCGTATCAGATTTCGCAAAGAGCAGTAGTGACCGAGGCATTCTATGCTCATTTTATGGCTCACTTCACGTCCGAGGGCGAAAGAAAAGACATTCGCAATCGACGTACTTGGCTGCATAGCCTGCCTGTTCTGACCACAGATGGAACAAATGAAGCACTGACAACGGCTGCACAGGCTACAGCATCTGCCTACTGCGCTGTCGAAAGCGGAAATATGGCACTTATACAATACTCATGGAAGATGTACGGAGAAGCCCTACGGGCGCACACTCGATTCGTCTCCCGTCCATATACCAAGCAAGAAATCACCGTACATATGGTGTCTACGAGCGTTCTGTTCAGCTTATTTGAAGCTATGCAATCTACCAACGCCGCAGCCTATTGTTCTCACGTTTTCGGAGCTGTTCGGATGCTTGAATTAACTACACCAAAACAATGCTCACAAGGGGCATTGTGTCAGATCTTCTGTAAGTTTCCTCATGCGATGAAGCCTAGCTGTATTTGCTTTGATCGTCGTTGTGTTGTTTTTTTGGAGAAAGATGATGTACCCTTTCAAACTGTATTCCACATACTTCTACAACTCAAGAGGGCAGTTTCTTTCGTACGGGAGAAACACGTAACGCGCGCTAAGACTGTACCTCTCTTGCAGATCATCTCCGGACTCAATTGACATTCATCAACCTGACCGGAAACAGCAAGAGGACGCCTTTCCGAATACAAGGCATTTTGTACGGGCCATTGAGATACGTTGAGTTACCTCGGTTTCAGACGCTTATGGGCTATGTATCCGACCTGGTGGACGTCTATGTCGCGCGGAAGACCGGCGCATCGCAACCAGAATCTGGCCTCGATGCTTACACCGTGCTTGAGAACAAGATTGAGGCGCTTTGGCTTGAGTACGTGAACGATGCAGTGGATACGGATAAGTTGCTGTTCTGGGGGGACACTTCAAATGAAACTCGGCACTTTCGCGACGCCTTCACTGCTCTCGTCGTGGCATACTTCAGCGTTGCTCGCATCCTTCTCAGCCTCATTACGCCACGACTTCCAGATGGCTTTCGGACCCTATCCGATGATTACACATCTATACTCCTGGCCTCGCAGTACTTGCAAACTCATACAGTTGGGTGCGCATACATGCGCATGGCCACGCCTCTGCTACTAGTTGCACTGCATTCCCCTGAACCTAACCAGCGCAATCAAGCTACCGCTTACTTCGAAGGCTGGACGCAGAGGTCCATGTCGGGCGTTAGCACACTTGCACTAGAGACGATACGTCGAAACCACGTCTACGAGCGTGACCGCACGCGCGAACAGTGGCAAAAGTCAGCGTTAATCAATACCTAGATGCAGCTATTCAGCCACAAGAACCAGTGATCACGATGCGAGAGATGTGTTGTCGTCGGACAAAAGCACCAAGCCGCCACCCGAACTGCCGGAATAACCCCGTCAGCGCTAAACACGGTTAGCTCGCGGATACCTCCTTCGCGATCCCCTTAGTAAACCCCGATTCTCGACACGAATTCCTCTTTCTGAAGCGCATGGGCCAAGCCCCTCAGCTGTGTACATGCAACGATGTACAGCGAAGAACCCGATCTCGAGACGAACTCTTCCAGCACGAAACCCACACTTTGCTCGAACTTGCTTATTCGCGACACCGATTATTGCCAGTACATGGTATGATTTGCAATATACGAGGCAGGAGGCAGGGTCTAGAAGAGACGATGCGGCTTTGATAATCAATAGATCGGGTAACGTCGCCGTGTGTAAAGACACAACATCGGAAGGAGGGGCGAGCATGTCGCTGTTCGGCTGTAATTGGTTCAAGCGTGCGACAGTTGGCTCACCTTCGTCTCGGAGAACAAAATCGGGGGGAAGTTGTGTCAAGAAAAGCGAATCCGGGTGGAAGTCTGCTCAAATCAAACTCCAGTGCCAAGGCTGCGCATTGGTTGTCAGGCGAACTTCACAGGCTACGATAGAGGCTTGTAGACAGCAGCTTACATCCATAATGATGCTTTGTTCCCATTGTGCATCCAGTGGGCAGGTGCCGTACGCCCCATTTTGACAAGTCGATCACATTGCTGCTACCAGAGAAGCTGCCCCAGCCCTCGTATCAATCGTTAAAATGAGTATATGAGAGCAAGTGGGTATCATCAAGGAGTCGTTCAAATCTGCTATAGCCCTCTACCAATACCCAAAAGGTTGTGAATCAAGCTTTCTTCTTGCTGCTTTGTCCAAGGTCAAGATGTAAGAAAAGCGCCTTCCAACCAGACTGGCAAACTCGCGGTACATTACACTGCACAAAACACAGATTGGAGTAGAGTTACGGACTTCAGGAAATGAAGACAGAAGAATCATAGCTGACTAGTCCTACGAACACGTTCCCAGTCCAGTCGCCATAATCGCACACATGAAAATCGTGAATTGACACAAAACAAGCGCACCCTCCTCTTGCGTAAAAGACTCATACAGTTCCATAGTACACTTCCTTCATCGACTTGCATAATGCTTGTGCTGATACCCATATTAAGCCTTCTGCATACCTTCGACAAACTCAAGCGCCGCTTCTCTATCAACAACATCGATGCTACTCGTCTTGTTCGTGTAGGTAACACCATAGCATCGATCCGCCACGTGTACCATCTCAGGCCTGAAAGTCGTGCAGATGAACTGACCACCTCCATCCGCGTTCTTTCCACCATGACCACTCAATCGCTCCAGCATCTGCGCAACAGCAGTTCGATACTGCGCGTCGAGATTGGCATCGATTTCGTCAAAGAGGTAGAAGGGCGCGGGATCGCACTTTTGGATAGCAAAGATGAGGGCGAGCGCGCAGAGCGACTTTTGGCCTCCAGAGAGCTGACCGATCTTTTGCTGCTCGTCGTGCTTGCTGTTGAAGGATACAGCGATGCTCACACCTGTGTACTCTTCGACCTTGCTCTTCTTCCCTTGGGTCTCTTGTTCTTCCATATCGTCGTCGTCGGAGATGTCCCCATGTGCGTCGCGGTCGGATTTGCGGTTGATGATGAGGCGACCGCGGCCGATGGGAACGAGTTGCTGGAAAACTTCGCCGAAAGCTGCGGCGACTTGCTTGAAGGTACGCGCGATAGCCTCATCTTTGCGCTGGTCTAGCACATCGATGAGATTCTCGATGGATTTGCGTGATGTGTCCAGTTCGGCGCGGCGTTCGGTGAGGGTACGTCGCTGACGCGTAAAGTTCTCGTAATGTTCGAATGCTTTCTTGTTGACGTGAGCGAAGCTCTTGAGGGCTTGGTTGGCCTTGGTGAGTTCTTTGGTAACCTTGTGGTAATGTCAGCTGTGTGCAGGTTTGAAGAGGCGAAAGTGAAGCTTACCTTTGTGGTGTCCCATCGAGTGTATTTCCGATTGACATCTTCAGGAAGGGTACCCAGATCACGGA